TTGTGAGAAAAGTATATGATATGTTTGACTAAATTATCCATGGGAACTTTTATTTCATGTTGCATGTAATTTATTACTAAATTTGGATTTGTAACCTTGTATTAAAAATGAGATCTCATTAGGTGGACATTTCTATTTTGGTAAACTACAATCTACCATTGTTGGCCTATTTATTAAGTTTAGGCTAAAGCATACATTTAGTCTTTTAACTTTACACAACGTTTCATTTTAATCTATTGACTTTATAAAATATTTTTTTATTTTTTTAATTCTAATATTGTTAGTTTTATTCAACAAATTTTTACATTGAACTTTTAAATATTGACAAAATATTATCAAATATTGACATATTAAGTTTATTTTTTTAAAATAATAATGATTAACACAAAAAATAATCATTTAAAACTAATGATATTAAGGTTAAAGAATTAAAAAAATACTTTATAAAATTAAAAGACTAAAGTAAAGCTTTATACAAAATTAGATGACTAAAAGTATATTTTAATCCTAAGTTTAATTCTTTCTATCATGTTAAAATCTTTTCTATCATGGCAATCGATTTTGAAATGGTTTTATTTAATTAAAAGAAGTTTTTTTTTAACTATGATAGAGTTTTATTTAAATTGGCTTGTCTCTTTTTTACTATGAGAAACTCCTTTCTACCATGATAAACTTTTTAAAAGATAAATTTTGTCCTTAATTATCATTGTAGACATTTGATTACCATGTTATATGTAAATAATTATATTAAAAAAAAAGTGTGTTACATCATCACAATACCATGTATTCTGTCTTCGTTGGCCCAACAATACCATGTATTTGTTTCTAATAGTGAAATTCAAAAACCTAGAGAACAAAAAACAAATTTCCTTCGAAAACAATTCACAATCAGCTCTACATACTTAACAAAACATGCGCGAAGAGAAAACAAGAACATGAAGATGAAAGAGGACTCCTCTCAAAAAGATGCCCCGATTAGTTGTTATTGAATGAAAAAGTAATTGGACTCGTCATCCTTCATTGGGTTGGGCTTTTAAAAGCAATATATGATATTTATTTATTATTGTTAATCTGATAATTTTTTACCAATCTCTCTCTCTCTCTCTCTCTCAAATATCACTACATTTAATGTTGCCGCACTGAATTTGTTAGCTCGAAATTTTTCTAAAATTTGAAACTTCTTTTGGATAAATAAAGCCAAATTAGTTTTTATAATATACTAATCATTCTTTACAGAAATGAAGATTGACATCAATGTGCCTAATCGTAGAAAGAAAAAACAAATCAAACTAGAGAGTTTTATTAGCACAACTCCCGTTAGCCTATCTCATGCTAATTTTAATTGGATAGATAATAAATGATGTAGTACATTTAGTCTACCTAAAAATTTTTCTACCAACACTCCCCTCAAGTTTGTAGCAGAACAAATCAAAGGTTCCTAACTTGCCCATCATATCAAAATGTTCTTTCTTCCCAAGTGCTTTAGTGAAAACAACAGCTAGTTGTACTGCACTTTGTACATGTTGTAGACAACGCTTCTCTTATATTAGATGACAGTCTATGTCAATGTGCTTTGACCTCTTATGAAAGCTGAGACACAGGGTTTGTTGCTATATGTATAGCACGCAGCTTTACAATGAACTAGCCAACTTACTTTTAAAACAGAAAATCACGTAGCTCAATATTATAGCTTCTGTTGATGATTTAGATACTGTATTTTTGTTTTTGAGACTTCTTTGAGACCGGAGGAGAACCTTCAAGCTTCATCATATATATATGTCACAGATCTTCTACTCTCTGCACAAGTACAGTAGGTCCCCTAATCTGAATCACGGAAGCGCCCCAATTACATGTTATTCATTATAGGCAACAAGATTCCAAAGCTCTGGGGTATATTTCAGATATTAAACTAATTTGATTGTTGCTCTTGTGAGAATCCATAGAATTATGCATTTATAAATTGGCTTACAACTTGTATTGCAAAACAAATATCAGGGCTAATCATGGTTAGATATTGTAATCTTCCAATTGTTCTTCAACATGTCCCTGCATCTGTCAACCATCCATCTCTTGGATCCTCTTCTCATGTAAATTTCACGCATTGTTGCAAATTTTTAATTTTGAATTGTGTAAGCAAATATTTCTTTGTTTCTTGAATTCCACGGTCATCACTTCCCTGTTATTAGCAAGCCATCAACATTGGCCAATACAAATATTGATTTATTGTCCTTTTGTTTTATAAACAAAGAATAATAGTAATACCTAGTTTATCTTTGATGACTTTATATATTTTTATATATTTTGAAGAGTTTTATTGATCTTTTAGAGAATCATCTAATTATTTTTATTTAGTTGTCTTGTTATAGTATTTAGTTTGATATTAGTTAGCTTGTCTTGTAAATATTGCGTTTTGATTTTATTTTTGAATATTTTCTTTAGTTAATTTGAGCTATTTTGGATTTTAGAAAAATCCACAATAGCTTGGAAGAGGTGAAGAAGAAAAATATAATGAATTTAATGAAGAAATTAAATTATTATGATTACCCACTATAGCGGGCCAGTATTATAAGGTAAATCCCAAACCAAAAATAAAGCCTACTATAGTGCATTGCACAAAAAATGCATAGTATCAGTTTTTCAAATAGAAAAATGAGAAAACGCGAGGGTTTGAGAGAGTTCAACTTTTGGGAAATTCTTTGGATCAGAGGAGGTGATTTGGAAGGTTGAGCACTAACCTAAGAGCTTGAAGAAAGATGATTCATACACATTTTGTGATTTCTTCTCGTTAATCTTGTTTTTCTCTTTTGTCTCCAATGTTTCTAGTTTACCTTCTTTATTTTGTTGTTGTGGGATTGAGTTTACTAATGTATAGTTAGATTTTCTTTATGACCTAAACAACTATGAACTTATTTATTTATTAGATACTATTTTCTCTGATTATTCTATAATTAATTTAGTTTTGGACTACTTAATGTCATTTATTGTGACTTGCTTGATGATTGGCTACCATTGAATTGAGATTTAAGGGTTTAGGTTTTATCTTGAAAAAGAAAATCTTAAATGGACCTTGAGATAAGGTAATATGGGATTGTAATTTATTTTAATTTGTCATTAAGATATGAATATGCCTCTAAAACCCATGTAATCATATTAGAGTGTTATTGAACTTTTAATGCCTCTTGAATAATTGTGTTAACATTTGCATTATTATTTAAGAGAGGGTTGTAATTGATTTAGAAGACAACTTCAACTAGTTAGACTCTAGATTAACCAAACAAAATTAATCTTAGGTAATTCAAGGGAAATAGATTCTAAGAACTAAGTAAGGGAATAGGAGCTTAGGGCATCTCTTTTATAAAATTATTGTTCGGTAGAATTAATTGCTAATTTTTCTCATTTATAAACTCTCATGTGTGATTTGCTTGACTTGAATGAAATTAGAAATTTGATGCCTATTTGCTTTTGTGTTTAATTCTCTATAGGATTAACTTTGATGCATTATTATGTTGCATATTGACTCGTAGAGTTGTGGTGCCCATTTAGTTTTTGTGTGTATCAATTTTAAACCTCCATTTATTGATGCTTGTGTTAGTTTTCATTCCATTATCTTGAAGTCTGCTTAAGGTCATATGAGCATTATTTTCCTGTACTTGCAACCAAATAAAATGAAAACAAATGGATGACTAACCTCATTCTCAACAATCACATGAAGGATTAAGTGAGGTGAAATAGGAAGTGCCTTTAGGCAAACTAAAGAAGATTACTGATTTTATTACTGGTTTGAGTTGGGGGGTTTTTCCCAACTTATAATACATAATTAAATATTTTAAACTATTGTAGTATATTCACTTATTACTTAATTTTAATAGTTAAAATCTAATAATTAATTTTGATAAGTGATTAATGCTCATCATGTAAAAATTCAAATAGAATTGTCTTTGAAAACTAACAAAGATTATTTTAGTTAATAAAATTATGGAATTAAATCACATTACTAATGTGACGACTTTATTGATAGGTGATCTGTAAGTAATTATAAAAGCATTCTTTGAATTTAAAAGCATGCATTGATTGCCTTAACTTTGATAAGCTTTTGAAACCTAACTCATTTAAATTTCTTTTTATATAAAAATAGAATTTTTCTTCAAAAAAATTGAGAAAACACAATCATTATTTTCTATAAGTTTATTGAGTTTTGCTTTGAGTTTATATAATTTATTTTTAATATTTTCAATCCTCATAGTCCCTGTAACTTAACATCATTTGGAACCTAAACAACAAACGTTACTCAACTTTATTAAAACTATAGGGTAAAAAAATAATGAAAAAACTATAAAAAATAATGAAAAAACTATAAAGATTTAAAATAAAACTCAAAAACATTATAGGAATTAATGATTTTGTTTTTCAAAAAAAAATTATTGCTTTTGCTTCAAAATTGAAGTTCAATATTTTCTTATTTAATTCCGAATCATATCAGAAAAGAACGATTCTACTATTACTCAAAAGAAAAAGGTCTCCGATGAAAAAAATTTGGACGAACATCTCACCTAATGAAAATGAATATTTTCTAAAGTTGGAAAAGTAACTTCCTTCACTTCAAAAACTTAATCAAAATTAAAAAAAAATGCCAAAATTAGATGAACAACACATCTTTCAATTTCATTTATAAATTACATTTTAAAAAGTACATTTAATCTTATTTATATATTATGATATGATTTCTTAAATAATATTTAAAAAATATTTTTAAAATTATCTTTCATAAATAAAAAAAGTAATATAATATTACTTTTTAAAATTTATTATATAAAAACATATTTAAAATCATACATACTTTTATTCATTATAATTTTTTATTGATATTGGAGAGGTTAATAAAAATATTTTATAAAAAAATAAAAAGAGTATTATTTTAGAAGCGTTGACGTGCATAAAGAAAAATAACGGGGAAAAAAGGTACAGTAACAGGGAAAAAAAAATAAAAGGAACAAAATAAATTCGGACAGCGGAGGTCCCCGTCTGGAGGCATTCAAGAAGAAGATTTACTGACCCCCAAAAAATTATGATGGCTGAGAAATTACGGAACACGCGGGAAAATCATGAGTTTGACTGTCATCCCTTAAAACAAATAGGAATATGATTAGCCAACAGGGAAAGTGCAGCAATTATGTCCCCATCCTCCACCCTGAGAAATACACCCACCCTTTTTAACTACTCCTCCCAATCATTACTACTTTCAGCTTCCTTATCAGCCTTTTCTGCAACCCTCTCTTTCATTCCAAGCAATCCCTATTCTTCTATTGTTCGGGCCTGTAATCCCTACACATATCCATTCATGCTTAGCTGTGGCACCCAATGTGCGTCCCTACCTCGAACCAAGCATCTTAATTTCCCATTACTGCCCCTCAGTATTTATTCCCCATAATTCTCTGGTCTTGCGCTCTTCACCCTCCACCTCAAAAGCTGCGTCCCCATTTCACCAATCAATACCATCCACGTCATCCTCCTACCATTCTCCTAAGCTTTTTTTGTTTTCCTTTTTATCACCTCATGAACAGAGCACTCGGCTTCAAATTACAAAAAAAAAAAAAAGAGGAAAAAAGATGATTCAGCCAACGCCTTCATCAATCTCACGTGACACTAAGCTGTCCAGCAAGGAAAAGGTTATTCATTATGGGCATGGGGATAGTGTTGATGGGGCCGTCCCTTGCGTGTATCAACGACAGCTTGTTCGCGGGAGTCACAGACCTGTGTTTTGAATTTGCAGCTGAACTTCTTCCCCAAGGATGCCCTCCAGCTCCCGCCTCCTTGTGGGCCCCCCTTCTTGTCAATCTTCGAGATCACTTTCCTCATGGTGGAGCACTCGCGTTCCAGTTGATGCACCCGCGTCCTCATGCTATCCATGTCCAGCCGCAACACCTGATTCTCTCTCTCCGCTACCCTCCACGTGCCGCTCGGCTCCTCACGTGCTTCCTCTTCCATCCCTGCCGCCGATGGCCTCCCGGCGTCGATTGCCGCCTCCGCTGACATGAACGACCCCGCGACGGCGTGTCGCAGCTGAAGCTGCTCGAAGAACAGTACTTGGATCACTGCTCTCAGTGGAAGCCTTTCGTTCTGTGCTGCGTGCGTGCATGCCTCTAGTGTTAGCTTCGGACAGTCCAGCAACCCGCAAATCCTTTCGCGTTCCGCTTCTGATATCCATGGGTGTGCCTGCGAGGAGTAGAAGAGTGAATTTATGTGTCTTGAAGGTGTTTGTGAAAATGACAAATAGAAAATCGCGACTGTTTTAACCGAAGGGCGGAAAAAAAAATAAAAATAATAGAAGTGGTCGGCGCTTATTACAACCTTGAGATAGATATCAATGGCACGGTAAAGACCATCGTCGAAGAGTCTGGCTTGTTCGGGGAGAGAGAGAGCGAAGTTGTAGAACCTTTCTGGTTTGAGATTTGCATCGGAAGCTATCTCGGAAAGATAGCCGTCGATTTGTTTACCCACAAGGGTCAACGTCGGCGACCTGCCGTCGATCGTAGCAGGATCATTTCTTTCTTCTAAACCCTCCAAGAAATGCCCTAGCATTCTCTCAACGCAATCAACGTCGTAAAGCGTTTCGTTCAAATACGAGAAGTTCGGTATGAGGAGGTCGTCCAGCGTAGCTTCCTCGAGCTGGGAACCTATCTTCTTCTCCAATGTATCTCTGCAAAATTCGGAAGCGTTCAATATATTCGCTGTTCGCAGTAATCCGAACAAAAACCTCGTTGCTGTTGAGGACTTGGAACCGCTCTTCAATGGAAGATTCAATATTATAGACTCCAGTAGCTCTTTCTGTTGAGACTCCGAAACTGCTGTCGAAGACGAGGTTAACGACTTCCGATTCGACCTCGAAACACCAGGAATGTATTTCTTTGCATAATACAGAAGACAACTCTCTATTACCTCTGGTCTCATATCCGTATTTTTCATGGCAAGAATGAGTTGCTTGAAAACAGGAAAATTCAGACGTGCCAGATCCTCAAGCCATGAGTCTCCTCTTGCAATGCCTCTGCTCACGCCCTTTTTTCTTCCCCCCGTTTCAATCGTATTCCACAAGATCTGCTTCGAGTCGGAACCTCGGGTTGTTATGTCATTAGTTCCGGGATCGTTCAGAGGCCAACCAATCAATGCCGGATCCGATGAAGAAGCTAAGGCGACAATGGAATCTATGCACCTCTGCATAATGTCTAATGTTTCCGCCAGAGGCATCAATCTCTCGCAGGACTTGAGCGCTCTAATGGAGTCCTTGATGCTTTTGAGGACAAACTGAGAGAAAAAGTTCTCGGTCTTGGAGATGAGGTTATCTTCAGAATACTCTTCAGTCATCTCAAGGAACTCTCCGGCGCAGCGAAGAGAAGCCACATTGGAAGAGGATAAGTCGATTTTGACACCGTAGCAGAACTTGGCAGCTATCTCGAAGGTCTCAGAGCCGCCGGGAAAGTCTGCGAACGTTATATGACAGTGTTCTTCAGCAATTTCGTCGTCTTCCTCAATTTCTTCAGGGACAGATTGTGTTTCTGTGCCAGCTGATTGGTTTCTAGTAGCAGAGGAATGATTTGCTTCTTGTTCTGTAATCAGGTTGTGAATCTTCCGACTTTTTGACATCAGAGGAAACTGAAATATATCAAACCCATGACAAAGTTCAGGGAATAGGGTACACATGATTGTTGTTTCTGGACATGGAAATAAACCCAACAAAGATATGCTCACCTTGTGAAGGTGGAAGGTCATGTCTTCCACTTCAACCACAATGTCGCTTGGCAATCCGGTGGTGCAGAACCTACAAAGAGAAATTGTCAGAAAATGGAATAGATAATGCAAAAGAAAAGAGGTTCAAAGGGAAATAGATTCATCTAACCATGCTTGTCCTTTGGAGCTGAGCTTCTCAGATGCTGTCATTTTCTCAGGAAAATTGTATTCTCAGAAAAAATTGGGTGAGAATAAAATTAGTAGAAAGTTTGATGCGCGAAAAACAAATGAAATAATAATCTCAGTTGAAGTGGAATATGAACACACAGATTCTAAGAACAACCAGAACGATAGAAGAGAAGTGGAGGGTGAAATAGACTATATGAGAATGGAGGATCAAAGAAGTTGCTTGTGCTTTCTGGTGAAGCATATAAAGGAACAGAACAGACAAATCTTTTGAGAGAGAAGAAAAGTGAAACAGAGAATGGAATCCCACAAAGTCACAAACTCAATCGAGACAAATGGACCTTTAACAAATTCCTAAAAAGCAGAACATATTTGATCCATCTTCCTTCCATCACCAAACTTCATTTTTACTTGTACTTTGAAGCATATCAAGATCTCACCTACTGTTCCTCCCTTAGATGCCTAAGAGGCCAAACTAAGCTTAATAATAATAATAATAGCAGTTGTAGTAATAATAATAAAAAAAATAAAAAAAAATGCCTCTTATATGAGTTTTCTTCTTAAAACCATTGAAAAGACAATGATATTATCCCCCCTTGGCCATGCCATTTTTTTTTTTAATACGTTCTCCGCATGAATAATTGAATATCTCCCGGTGGAAATTGCAATTGAGGGTGACAACCCTAATATAAATTGAGACAAACATAATGAATTTTAAAATTTTTCCTGATTTCATTAAAATAGAAATGACTTATGGATAAGGTATGAGTGAATTTGACATTTATTTTAAACTATGAAAAGAAAGGTTTTTTTTAACTATAATTATTATAAAACGAAGAGTAATTTTCTAACCAATTGGTTTAAATTAATGTTAGCATTATGTTATCCTGAAAGGGTACGCGACAGAGGTATGCCCTTGAACTCATCGATCTTACCATTTCAATATCTTAATCAGTTAAACAATGCAACATTCATGATCATAAGCTTCACAAAGTCGTGAAAATCGTGAATTCCTTAAAATCATAACGTTGCCTTCGTTTCCCCTTCCTTCGGTAGGGTCTAAAGCAACTTAAGAATTAATGGTTCGTTAAAAAAAAAAAAAAACAACATAAGAAGGATCATATAGGAGAACTGGGACTGTTTTTCTTCATCATGCTTTCACTGTAAGTATGAACCATTTTGAATCGAAAGCAAAGTAGTATTGAGGGGCTTTCTTGCTTCTGGAATCCCCAAGTCGACGATCCTATGTGAAATGTGTACAGCATAATTGGATGAAAAGCCATAAGCTGCAAATGACACATAAAAAGAAGGCTACATAACATGAATATTCAAATCCTTACAGCTAGTTCAGATTTTGAAGCTTTCCTGTTCTGTGCTATTAATAATGGACCTATATATCAGGCAGAAGTTCAGGTGTGGAAAGGTACCTAAAATTCTGAGAGCCCTCAAACAAAAGAAAATCTAAAATAGAAAAAGAGAGCCATTCCCTCATTAATGTTTGCATATCAACCCTCTCGTCCTTCCTTCCTTAGAATTTATGACTCTCTTTAATGAGTGACAACAATTGCAAGGTCCATTAATGCTGCTGTCACACATTCAAAATGACCCTCATACTGATCTGATATTTTCAAGTTTTCAAATTGAAACTCCATTATAGGCAAAGCAGAAAAAGCATGTACCCTGCAGAATTTTAACGCCAACTTCATTTAAGTTCTGAGTTTTTAACGAATTCCTTATTAAAATTAACTTTATCTTCAAACATCTTTGAATTGAGGAGAATGTGCATTATTATTATGGCCAATTATGGCCAACGTAACATCCAATTCTGACAAAATTTAACAAGACTCTGAAATCTGATTCAAATGTGACGTATACTTAATTAGATGTATCTGATTATGTGAAAAAACCTGCATATCGTAACTATTAATTACTTCCACAATTCTGGATTTGATAATAAGCATTCATCTAACAAGAACTCGCTACTAGTGTGCAATGACAAACAACAACCAACCAAAACTTCTCGAAGTCGGAGCTTATCACCATGCGAGATGATTATGAAATGCATTTTTTAAAGAATAATAATCATAAGGTAATGTTACCGTTTTATGTCTCCCAATTCTTATAGCTGAAACTTTGCCCCCTTTTCCATATTTTTATTCCACTTCTAAACAATAGATTAAACTTAATTAACAAAAATAAACCCACAATTAGAATTAGAGGTGCACAAAGAGTTACAAACATGAATAATAATATAAAATATATAAATATATATTTCTTCCGTTTAAAAATATAAAATATTTTTAATTAAATTTTATTCTATAATAAAATAGTTAATTATCTTTAAATTAACATCATCTTTTTATATTTATCTTTATTTAATAAAATTTTTTATTTTAAAATAAATATAAAATGATATATTTAGTAGGGACACTTTCAAAAAAAAATACATTAATTATATCTTAAAATATTAAAATTATTTTATATTTTTGAACAAGGAGGAGTATCAAATAATTTAGTCATATAAGCCATGAATAATAGTGCAGCCTTAAACTCTATGTCTGTAATTTAATGGCAAAAATACTCTTGCAGCTTATAATTAAGATGATGTCAAATTAGTGAGATAAATTTACCATATAAATTAATACTACCTCCATCCTAAATTATAAAATAACTTTAAAAATAATTTAGCATTATAAAGTATAAGATATTTTGATAAAAATAAAGTTTCATTACTTATGTTTCTCCAATATTATCATTTCAATATATTCTCTCTCTTTAATATTCTTTTATAAATAAAATATTAAATAAAAAGTATTTTTAAAACTCTAAAAAAATTATAAATTATATTTAATAAATTTTATTAATACGTGTGGTTTTAATTAGAATTATTTTATAATTTAAAATTAAGGAAGTACATGATAAAAGGAGCTTCTCTTTATAAATAAAGCTAAATTATATATGGCTCTCCTAAATTTTGAACCACGTACATACATAACTTTTTTAGCCTTTAAAACTTTATAATGAATCTCCCTCAACTCTTATATTAATGTAGATAACTCCATATGATTAATTTTATATATTAATTATCTATACATAATTTAAAGTTTAAGAGGCTTATTTATATATTAATCAAAGTTTGGGGCTTAATTGCACACAACAATAAAGTTTAAGGGGGTATATAATTAAAAGCTAAGGGTTATTATTTACATAAACCTAAAAGCTCAAGGAGGTTTATCGTTAAATTTTAAAGGTTAATAAAATTATTTATTATATATAATTCAAAATTTAAGAGAATTTTATATAATTTAACCTATAAATAAAATTAACATTCATTCCATGAGGTATCTACCTAGATGGCAAGATGATGTGGAGTGATGATAATAATCGTAGTTTAGAATCTTATAATGTAATATTTTTCATTCTCATAAAAATTATTCTCACAACATGCAGAAAAGGACATAAATATTTGAAAATCAATATTTTGAATTTTTGCTAAAATGCTATTTTATTTATCAAATTTTATTCTCATTTATAATTATAACTTATTTCTAACAAGTTAGATATAAAATAAGAAAAATGATAATAAAATTTTTTGAATCATATAAATGACAATATGATATTTTAAAATATTATAATTTTAATAAAATTTTTAGAGACTTCTGTATCAATAAATTTTAAAGTAAAAAATTATTTTATTTTTATTAAAAATAACAAGTCTCAATTACAATTTTTGTTAAAGAAATAATAACTTTTTTTTTGTGAATTGAAAAAATTAAATAAAAAATTATAACTTAATTTTTTTTCTTAAAACAATAAACCTCAATCATAACTTTTACTTAAAAAATAATAATTTTTATTTTATAAATAATAAGAGTTCGATAATAAATTATAACTTATTAAATATAATTTTAGTTATTAAAAAATAAGTTCTCAAAAAAATTAATTACAAATTTTATTAAAAAATAATTTTTATTTAAAAAATTTAAAGTATTAAATAAGAATTTATAATTTATCAATAAGGATAAAATAATTTTTTTAATTTAAAATTTTTTAACACAAAATTTTTTATATAATTATGATATTTTAAAAAATTATATTATTATTTATACAATTTAAAAACATTTTATTATCAATTTTTTATAAAATAGAATAAAATTCTGATTCCATTTAAAATTTTTCCTAGTCATCAAAATTCATGATCTCTTTTCTCATCTTCGTCGCCGACCTATTTAAGTAAAATAAGCCGTCTCCGAAATGTAATATTTTGAGGTTGAAGTTTTTTCTACGAAAGATTGAAACAAAACATCTTGCAAGCAGTTGCAAACTCGCAAGCAGATTCACAGGAGTGACAGCGGTAGCCTCTTGAATTGAAATCTCAGAGGCAATCGGAGTATATTCTCGCCCCTTTCGGATGGCTCGCTTGTCTTCAAACCCCATTAGTCTTCATGGATTCCGACCATGCCTGCAAATTCCTCGACCTCCACAAATCATCGGATATCCTCGCTACCCTCGCCGCAGGACTCCCAAATTTCAGACCTTTGCTTGCCAAACAACTCCTAACCTGGACGAGCCCTCCACAACGGTAAAGATTCTGTTGAGTAATTCTTTGGAGCGTTCAAGTTCTTGTGAGTTCGATTGTTCTTTTTTGCCTTCACTTTCCATCATTTGCTAAGCATCCTTCGACTTGTGCGTTCAGGAAAGATCGGTCAACGAGGCTATTGCCGTCAATGATCAGACAAACAAGGTTTCAGGCTCCCCTATTAGTTCTCCTGGTCTCCCTGAATTCCCAAGCAAAGATATCAATAAGAAAATTGCAGCAGTTTCCACTTTAGCTGCTCTGGGACTTTTCTTATCCTCAAGATTGGATTTTGGTGTTTCTTTGAAGGATCTCTCTGCTGTTGCATTACCTTACGAAGAGGTTTAGTTTCTTTCCACTGATTATTACTCAGTATTACTCTGTTGTATTGCTTCTCACGCGGAGAAAAATGGTTCGGTCTCTGCTGAATGCCAACCATCTTATCGACGGAAGTGACCTTTAGCTCTTCCCAAAAACTGTTTCTATATTAAAACGGCCCTCTTGTTAAGCCTGATAATATCATAATAGACAGTTAACGAGCTTTGTGACGTGAATTTCCAGCATGATTGATGTGGCGCTAACTGCTTACGTGGCCGCCAAAACATTGCATAAGCACTTTTCCAAGCTGTGTGTTCAAGCCTCCATAATTCACAAAATGCAGCGTTTTGGTGGCCACATAAGTATTTAATGATCTTGGTGATTTTGTTATGCTTAGGTAAGAATTATTTTAAAATAGAAATAACCTTGGGAAGCCTACAGTTGGGAGCTACTCTCACTAAACCTTGTTGTATTCATATGCTTTTTCTGTTGCTTTTACGGTTCTAACATAATATTTGCCCATGATTTTTGCATGTCGTTGGTGGATAGTCCAGGCTCTTTTGAATGGGAAGCCCACTGTGGTGGAATTTTATGCAGATTGGTGTGAAGTATGTAGGGAATTAGCTCCTGACGTGTATAAAGTAGAGCAGCAGTACAAGTAATGGCTTATATTGCTGACATAGTTCTTTTTGTAGCTTTTAATAACTATATTCTAGCTATAATTGTATAACTAATATTCAATCTTGACGCTGCTGTGTTTTAAACTTAGGGATCGAGTGAATTTTGTAATGTTGAATGTGGATAATACGAAGTGGGAGCAAGAGCTGGACGAATTTGGTGTTGAGGGCATTCCACACTTTGCATTCCTGGATAAGGATGGGAATGAGGAGGGCAATGTAGTAGGCAGGTTTCCAAGGCAGTTCCTGCTTGAGAATGTGGATGCCCTTGCCCATGGAGATGCATCGGTACCTCATGCTCGTGTTGTAGGACAATATTCAAGCACGGAATCGAGGAAGGTGCACCAAGTTGTTGATCCCAGAAGTCATGGTTAGATGACAAAGGTATCATCTCTTCAGAACAATTCATTCAATTTGTCAGTGAGAAACATTTGAAGAGGCAACTCGTTGCTCTTGTATACTCTTTCCAAAAATCTTGTAATTTGAACAATGTTGTGTAAGTCTCATGTAAATTCAAAAAGTAGATTATCAACCACTAGCTCAAATGTCTATATTGATGCAATTTCAGGATAGGTATAGTTCAGCCCCGAAAAAAAGGATAGATATTGTTGCACTTGAGTGCTTAGGAGTCCACTCATCTCTAAATTATTTGTGTGAACATGTTATTTGTTTTCTCATTTCACAAGGTCTTACAACTCCTGGCCATTCATATTTTGCTGGTTGAGTTGAAACAATATAATTTTCCTGCATTGATAATAACTCACTACCCACGGCCCAGAGATCTAACTCTCAGCCTCTTGAAAGTCAGAACATTTGAGCTCAAGCTCAATGAGACCATGCTTTACTGAGACACATAACAAGGAATGAAAGATACAATACAAGTTCTCAAATAATGTAAAAGCATCCTTAGATTTATGCAGCTAACACTAGTCATTTTATGGTAGTGATAGTTACTCAGTGATCAAAACAAATTTCACTCTTCATATGACTCAGTTGCTTCAGATTTTTATCCAACGTCTTAGCCACTCTATCTAGCTTGAGGTCATAGACATATTGATGCAGCAATTTATTTATTAATTGATGCGGGAGCTTAAATCCATGACGAAGGGTGGGGCGATAGAGATAGAAGTGAGTGTAAAATCCATAATTTAGTGCCGAAAGTTGAAGCATGTGCAAACAGAGCACAAGAACAGGAGTTTATTGTTTATTAATTAATACATCAACATTGTGAAAAGCGTGCAGGCTTATGCCGGTCATGTCGACATGACCAACCCTGAACAACATTATTGATAATATGATTAATTTTTGAAGGTACCGATAGTCCCAATCTCTTTTTGCTCTGGTGCCCAGGAAAGTGAAACGGCATTCTATGGTTGTTTCGAGAGTGGTGATTCTCCATTACCTGTAGTAAAGGAACATTAATTTAGAAATAGCATACTTCATCTTTTTAACTCATTGGATTTCGCATAAAGATCTGCGAGTATTGTTCTTTTGTTATTTAGAGTATCGCTGGGAGAGATTTTTGTATTGTTTTCTCATTATTGGGACACGTGATGCCCGTGTTGGGAGGTTTGGCGTTCTAATTCCCTGTGTGTTTTCTATGGGTAATTTTTTGTCGTCTTTCCTTTTGAATCTATGATCTACCTGGGTCTGAAATATGTTCAGTATTACGTTTCCCCCTAGAAGTGCAGGCTTCTTGAAGGTGATCTACGATACTGTGATTTTCAAGTCTTCAAGGGTATGCCTTAAGCCTTGCTATCTTTCTTGATTATAGAAGTCTGCAACCAAAAAGGCCAGACACCATGCAAACTAATTCTAAGAGGGTGTACATGATCCGAATCTTACTTGACCCGATCTGTTCAAACAATAATAAACCAATGAAATGGCAGGGGCGGATTAATTACCTTGTACCGAAGTTGCAGAGTGTGATGGTTGGTCAGCAGAAGAAGAGGCAGAAGCTTGGGAGGGGATGACCACGCCAGGCCAGGATTGGCACATACAGTGCTTTCCCTCATCAATGCTTCCATATAAGTTTTTCAAGTGCTTCCCACATCCTCCCCATGTATATTTCCCACAGCTTCTACACTCTACCTTGTAACACATTCCCTTCTAGCTTTTGCTATCTCTTCTTTTGGCTTATTAGCTCAATGCTACCTCACACTACGTGAACCTGTGTCTCCTTTTATACCAATTCCTGTAACTTCGTGTTCATCGTCCCTTTATTTAATGTTGTCTTCTACAGTCACCACCTGCATCAACAGCTTGCTCGCTACTTGAAGATAACGCCTTCCTCTGTTGTCTTCTGTATTTGGTGATTCTGTTGGGCTCCGTCTTCCTTTGGTTTTCTGTTTATCACACTGGCAATGCAACATTTTTCTAAATATTTTAAATTTGTGCGCATCGTGAAAAACATTCTTTATATCTCTACATTAAACTTGATTCCACTTTCATATCCATACATAACCATACAAAAAATGAAACCCATTAAGAAATACCAAGATGGTGATCAATCCTAGGCAAGCAAGACATAATTTTGATTCGGTTTCTTCACTTGGGAATCTGATAATTGATAACCCCAAGGTGAAGCACAATCTTAAGCATACTTCAAATTTAACCAGTTTCTGTGAACAGAAAAATTTCTGCCAAGGGGTAATCTTTCTTATTGCAGTGCCAGTGAAACCCTTCACCTCTACAGAGATGGAAGTAAATTAGCCATGAAGGCACTAAATATCATTCGATTAAATATATTGATGCAAAACAGCTTCGGATCATTCAACAGTCAACACAAGTTCAAACGAGGAAACATTATAGGCACCTGCATCTGGAAATTGATCTTGTTTAGCTTATAAGTTGACAAATGGTTTCGGAGGTTTGGTATGAGAATGTTGTATCAGTAATTTAAATGTCATTGTCTATTTTTACAAGTATTTGATATGTTAGCTAGAGTTAACCCATGTTGCAGTGGATACGAAGATATAAAGGAGTTGACTCAAATATAAATAATAAAAGATAGAGTATGAAGATGATACCAAAATTTATTTGATTCAACAAAATGCTTACATTCAATCCACAGAAGTTCTTAAGATTTTTTTTTTTCAATCGAATTTTCGATAAAGATGAAATGTTTCAATGCGTTATCTTCAACCCAAGAATTTAGCTTACGGTTGCAATTTCTCTCACGCTAACACTTCTCACAGTCACAGGTATGATTACAAAGAAAATAAGCTGAATGGGGTTCAGAGTTCAGAGCCTAACTAACAAAAGAGGGTCAGAAGAATAAAAGCTCAATGTTAAAGTCTTTTACATTTTATATTAAGTATATCTGAGGATAGTTTCTTCACTAAAATAATTTAAGCTATTTAGTTAAACATATTATAAATTTTATATATTCTTAATTTATTTTTTATCTTTTAAATGTGAAACTTCTTTCTTTATTTTAAATATTCACTTTACTATTTTTCTTTTCTTTTCTTTTCTTATTTTTTTTTCATCTTCATTTTCTTCTAGCTTGGATTTACACTTTTTTTAGTCTCAAAGGCTTGAAGTTTATCATTCTTCTTCTTCTTTTATGTTTCTTTTTTGATCTCTTTTTTTTCATCTTTAATTATTTCATTTTTTTTCTTTTTTTTTCATATATATTCTTAATTTATTTTCTACCTTCTAGATGTAATATTTTTTTCTCTATCTCTAGTACTTAATAAATGCTTTTTATCCCAAGTAAATAGAGATTAAACACAGATAGTCATGCACTAACTTAGTAACTTACAATTACTGGCTATAGCGGAAGCTCTCCATGTCCCTCTAGCATACTTTGATGTTACTTTTTCGTTGGAATAATTGTGGATTAGAATTAATCAATTATAAATTCCTGACCAAAATAATATTATAAATATTAAGTAATCTTTATATTATACTCCTATTAAACACTATTTTAAAATGAACTAAGTCTTACTGAATAAATCATAATAAGTTGTAATATTATTAGTGGATGTTCTTCTAGATTTGAATTACTGCAATAAGTTGCTTCATTGTACACATATCCTTAGTCCAGATTCTTGAGTTATAAGTGATAGATTTACTTGCTTTGCTTTACTTTTTGATTTTTCTAATTAGTGTGTATACTCAATTTTTTCTGACATTATCATATTAACAAAATGGACTCTTGTTTTTGGCCCAAAAAAAAAATTAATTGGACCATTCCACCAAAAATGACTATTCTATAGGATTTAATTTTTCATAAACTAATAGTGATCCCTTAAGACTTTGAGAGTTAATTTTACATAGAGGTGAAATTACGTTATACTTGGAAGGGGCAAACTATCTAATTATATGAATAGAATGAATTTCTATAAAATTTATATTAATTAATTAGTTAATTATTATTAATATGGATGGTTTTTGTTTTTGAAGTTCTTTTATAACAATTTTAATCTTCAAATAAAAATCTGATAGCAAAGCTAAAAATCACAGCCCCCGTTGAGCAGCAGAGGATCCTTTGTGGTATCCTTATTCCATCTGTCAGCGCCTGCGTGTCAAGCATTGACATGGTTGAGATGATTCGGCGACCCAAAACCACAAATCCAACATTCGCTCCCACTATATCATCACTTATCGCTCTCGGCTCACCTCAAGCTTAGATCCATGGCTTCCACACTTTCACCTCTGAACCGAACCCTTTCACTTCCCCCTGTACGCAATGCTACACCATCCTCCTGCAAGGCCCACGCCGCCAAACTTGCGCCGGCATTTTCAATCAATGCCCTATCAGGGCGGAGGCAGTTGCTATTCTTCCTGACGACTTCTACGGCGCTTACGGCGAAGGAACGGACGTCCATGGCGCAGGACGTTCCTCTGTTCGGATTTCGGAAGAATCTGAAGAAAGTTGAGGAAGCAGCCGAGGAGATTGTGAAAGAGGGCTTCGAAGCCGCGGACAAAGGGGTGGAAACGGCGGAGCGTGGGCTGGAGACGGCGGAGCGTGGAATTGAGGCGGCGGAAAAGGGGATAGAAGCGGCAGAGAGGGAGATATCCGATGCTGTGAGTTTTGGGGGGTTGGCACAGGCAGGAGCGATGGTTGGAGCGGAGGTTTTTAGTGTTCTGGTTGCAACAGCCGTTGTGAACGGTATTTTGGGGCCGGAAGCTCAAAAGTCATGACGTTACAGACTAATGCATCCGATCAACTTGCAATCGGCTATTTGTGTGAGTATTACATGTTTATTGAATTGTGTACATCTTGTGAGAACTCTCTTGTATTTTAGCTTGACATGAACACATTAGCTTAGTGCCATAAAGTGCAAAGCTGAAATGACTGATAAATCAGTTAGTGTTGGTGTATTATCTGTTACTTCCCGTGAATATATCCTACCTTAATTTAAAATGGTCATCTCACTACTCTAATCAGCTTGCTTTTGTTGTGATTTACGAAAGACATGCTGAAATTACATTTCCGAGATAACTGTTTATTTGTTCAAAGCACATAATTGTATAGGAAAACATAATGACATCATGACCCGCATATGATCTTGATAGCATCATAAGTTGTCCGTATGATTCAAGAAGAGGGAAGAAGGAAACCAATGCCAATGTGTACTACATAAGCTGATCCATGTCTTTTTAGCCAATGATATACCGATAAAGGTGAAAGAATTGAGTGCTTCCTTTTACCTCCTCCACAGATTGTTAACCGTCTGCTCGAACAGTCAATGTCTCACTTCCTAAGTTCATCCCATTCCCATTCTCATGAATATGAGGCGCCCCTGATGAAGCCATGCATATAGTTTCCTCCAATTTCTTGCATCCACTGCTTTTGATGTATTCTAACTCCTCTGCCACCTCCATCATAGCAGGCCTGATGTCTCTTCGTGAATCAAGGCATCTAAATGCAAGCTCAGCCACCTTGTGAACAGAATATTTCGTCCATTCATCCTCGTGTGATGACAGGAAAGGATCCACTATCTCGTCCACACAACCCCTTCCAATCCTGTCAACTGCAAGTGCAGCTAAATTAACCTCATTCACAGGACGAGAAAAATCAACCACTTTCAGGGCAGTTATTATCTCTACTAAAACCACTCCAAAGCTATAGACATCGCTCTTGTCAGAGAGGTGGAAATTGTGCTCATATGAAGGGTCAACATAGCCTGGTGTCCTTCGTGGAGAGGTTGAGATATGTGATATGTCTGTTATGCCAAGCCTAGAAAGCCCAAAATCTGCCACTTTTGATTTGAAGTTGTAATCCAGCAGTATATTGCTGGACTTTATGTCTCTATGGTAGATTGGAGGATCAATGGCAGAATGAAGATATGCTATAGCATTGGCAGTTTCAGAAGCAACGGTGAGCCGTGTTATCCAGGGAAGTGCAGTACCCTTTGCTTTCGTAAATGCTGAGATAGTGTTCCATTGGGCACAAATTCAAGAACGAGTATTTGCTTTGTTCCCCCTATCCAGCAACCCAAGATACGGACTAAATTTGGGTGGCTTACAAGAGAAAGGAGCTTGATCTCATTTATGACTTGGACTACGTTATTATCTCGACGCTTTATCTTTTTTATTGCAACCCATTCATGGTGAAGTTTCCCCAAATAAACTGTGCCAAAAGCCCCAGATCCGAGCTTCCGTTGCTCCGAGAAAAAATTAGTGGCTGCTTCTATTTCTTTGTACGAGTGGACTGCAAGATTGGTATTGCCTAAAACTTCACTTAACAGCCGCTCTACTCTCTTCCTCTCTCTCTTTCTCGAATGCCGCAGGTTGACGTCATATAGAAAACACGCAAGAACTCCGAAATAAACTGCAACCGAAATCCCTACAGACAATTATGTGACATTGGCGAAAGTCAAGTCCGACTGAGATAAAAACGGATGAGAGAGCGCAAAGTGATACTGCAATTTTAAAAACAAGGAGAATGCCCGCATTCCGGACCAGTGCGGTCATTAATAAGCACCCTTCTCGGGGGAGAAATATTCTCAAATTATGCACGGAAAGAGAAACATGTAGAGGCTGAAATTTTAGGATGACATTTCGACAAAAGTTTGCCTGAAAAGAACAATGGCATAAGAGAACCGAGGTCTTACCTCCCGCAATTTTCCTGAGTTTGGATGTAATGCTTTCGCAGAAGACATCTGTTGACAATGCAACAAAAGAAAAAAGATGTAGCGATGAGAAAAAAATGTTGGCTTGGTTTTTTCTGTGTCTTTCAAATTCTTGTTTAGTGTTTTCTCCCTTTCATTTGTTTGTTAAAATTATAATAAATGTGCTTAAATCTCCATTTGATTTGTGGAATAGAATAAACAAGCGGCTTCTAAATGTGAAATTATATTCTTAGATAAACATTAGTAATAAAATGGGACTTTACATATTCAGTCCGAGCCAACATTAATAATTTGTGAACATAAAGTGCAGGAGGGGCCTCTGGGGTAACTGAGAATATATATATATATATATATATTGAAAGTGAATTATTCCTGGAAGATGATGATGATGAATAAAATCTGAAATAAGATTTGAAATAAATGAGAACATGTTTGACAAATATGATTTATGTTAGAAAGAAATTTTAAAAATATATACAAGTGTGGCTTTTATATAAATGAGGTATAATTATGATGATGTTATGTAATTGATAATGTTGAGAATGATAATGTGAATGCAAAGAAAAATGAGATATTTTACATGTTGACATGTATGAATTCTTGTGGCATTATCATGTTGAGAGCGGGAATTAGTCTGAGGAGGAGTTGTGATATAAAATTCACATGGTAAAATCACTATATGAAACTCTATAGCTAGCCCACTTTTGTCCAACTTATTCATCAAGGGTCCAACTTATTTATCGAAGGACTTAGCCTTAACTTATCTCCATTGGCTCATTGAGGGAACTAGTTTAGGGCTATGGCACATTACTTGTTCACCAAATGGGAACCCATTATCTGATTATGTGCTATGTGAGCTTGGCTAGCTCACGACACTTAATTGAAGAACTTGTTGAAGCAACCAGTGATATGGATATTGACTTAACTTTGGGTTTAGTTGGGAGAGATAAAGAAGATATAAATGAGGTTATTGATGATGCATCTCATTGAATATTGTAAAATAATTTGTGATTGTGAGTTTGACTATGAAGAATACCCCCTTTATATGTCTATAATTAATTGACTTGCATGTGCATGATTTGAAAAATTTTAGTTATTGAGTAGTTGCACTCACCTCTCTTTATTAACATTACAAGAGCTAACTTTGTGAAAGGTAAAGGGGAAGCATTAGAGACATGGGAATGAGTTTCCTATTATAATGCTCTAGTTTATTTTGAATTATATTTGCAATTATTATGATAATGTCAATTAAGACATTTGTTTTATTATACTTGCACCATTTCCATCTTATTTGTAATATGGTTGTATTTTAGGCCCCAGATGTTATATTATATGAAATAGATTGTCTGGATAAGGTTCAAATACTAGTGCAAGTATGATTATTGCTATTGTGTGAATTATGGTTTTGGTTGAATATTGGGGTTGATGATTGAAAACGGATTGTGTGACGAATTGTTATATTGTAGTGCATTATACCAGTTCTCCTAAGTTCTTTAAATGTAGTTCAAGTATTGGTTTAGGCTCGTGGCACTTGAATTGGAATTTGAAAACCTTAGAAGTAGTTAAGTGTAAAATAGTGGTTGTTTTTTGTTTTGAGTATCCAACTTTGTGATATAGTATTATTTTAAAATGAAATTAGTTTTATTAGCTAAATTATTGAATAAGCTTTCTATAGAAAACTTTATTACTTTAATTGGATATCGAAAAGAGATTTGGAACGCGTTAGAAATTCAGTCTCCTAATCTAAATTGACAACAAAGTTATGTCATTTGATGTTGTGCAGTATGATGCAGTGGACAATGCCTCTATTGCAGTGCACGTCACAAGAGCTCATTGGCCACAATGTGTCGAGCCTTGACTGCAATAGATACCCCATTTAGTGAAAAACGGTGTTTTTAATCTCGTTTTCAAATGTTTACAATTTCAATTGATATTTCATACTCCTGTATGTTTTCTAATTTTGATAAATGTTGAGTTTTTGTTTTGAAAAGCTTATTTCCATAAAATTACACTTGGGATCCTGTTTTTACTAAAAAAATTTATTGGTTAAATAAGTTTCAAACCTTTTTTTACCACAATAGTCTTGTAATGATTGGTGGGTCTTTTCCTACTACAATAAAATGTTTTTTTTTTGTCATAATTACTTTAGTCAAAATCTAATAACCATTGTGAACTTTTAAAATTAAGTTTTTTTCTACTATGATTAGCTTTTATAATTGTAGTTAAGTTCTATTTACCATATTAAAGTTAATAGGGTGATTAATCCCTAATTATCATGATAATATGTGATTGTTCATGATTAAGTATAACGTTATGGTAGGTGATATGACAAGGGCTCTCTTAGTGGCTGTGCTAATTCAAATCTTTATGCCCTCATTAGACAACGGAAGTGTTCTCTATAGGCTTGTATGTGGGTCTTTCTTGTTTGCTAATAATAGAGACTGCTTCTTGTGGATCATTTGGCTTTGCTGTGGGTGTTATTAGTTCAGTCCTATAGTGTTTTTGGTTAACCTGAAAGTTATTTTTAGCTTTCAATATTGTTATTTCCGTCTTGATGAGAATGGCTGTTAATGCTGCTATTATGAATGCAACTTTAATTCAGCGTATAAGGGTGTGGGCTTAGTGCTTGAACAAGCCTTTGGACTACCGACCCATCCAGCCATTTCTGCGGTGATTACCATGGGCTTCAAGACGCACAGGATTGTCTATATATCTTGGCTGGCCTCTTAATTTGCAGAACAACTCATCTAAACACTGTTGTGTCTTTCAATTTATTTTTGTTGGAATATTTTGAACCATTGTTTGTTTCGCTCTTTTGTCGTTGGGTTTTGGTCGATTAGTTCTGGTATTTGTAATTTCTTTTAATGCGCCAAATTAGTATTTGGCCAAAAGGAAGAAGAAAGGGGAAATGAAATTAGATTTGTGCCAACTATGTAGTGACAACTATTGGACTCACCTGTACATACGAGACAACCGGTGCCGTTTTGGTAGCCATCGCCAACGTAACTTTCACGGCACCGGCACCGGCACCCGAGCTTCCCGTCGGCTAGATGGACCTGGTTACACTCTGCATCGCGATGGCATGGGCACAGGTCTTGAAGCCACCACCCTAATTCCAGTATCTGAAACTGCACCGAAACCGCCGGGTCTTGTCCTCGTTCAAAAGCAATCGCCGAGAACCAGAACTTGCACTGATTTCGGCTCACGTCCTCGTAACTCAGAACATCAGAATCATTCTTTCTATGAAATTCATTGAAGAAACTGATATTATCACCATCTTTACCGCAATCCTCCAACTCAATTTGATTACCTACTAGACTGGTAATGGGTATACTGCAGCCGCCAAGCGAAGATGAACAAGCTTGCGCGAGAAAGCTGTTGTTCCGTGTAGGAGCAAAGTTGTTACTGAACAGGGGTCTGATAGATTCCATACTTCGGTTGCATTTCCAAGGAACATTGATGAAGATGCTGCTCGAGGTTACTTCATTGACTTGTAATCCTCCAATTTCCATGCGATCGCCAAAACTGCAGTTTAGTCTGATCTCGCAACTTTCGGAGAATCCAAAAGGGTACTCCACTCTATGTCCTCCGCACGTGCGCTCACAGGTGTTCGACTTTTTGGCTGTTGTTGTGTACACCATCAAGATGGTGAGTATAACAATTGCATTTTTCTGGTGATGAAACATTTTTAGATTCAAAATTGAGGCTGCTTGCTGAAAAAAAAAAAACGATATGTATATTCGTCTTCAGGAGTTGCTGAATAGAACTAGTCCTATCTCGTACTCAATATATAGGGACTCTCTGCAAAAGGGAGAGATATCAGAGATGCTTAATTAACTTCTGAGCAATGCCAATTAAGAAAAACACTGAAACTAACAAGGAAACAAAACAACAAAATTAACACGCGGACAAGCCTCCCCTACCTGGTCGATTGGAATAATTGCTAATTGATGATACTTGCTCACTTCTTCTGCCCCTTCCAACACGTACTGTGTAAGGTAACCAATTTTGACACGGAAAACGACGGTGAACTCTAAAAAGAAGGGATTAATGATACTTTTTTGATAATTTTTTTTTAAATTAAGTTGCATAAACTGAAAATTACGTTTATAATATAGATACTTTATTTATACTTAGAACTTTTGAATTTATAATTTATTTTTTATAAATTTTATGGAGAACTAAACTGATATTAAATTTAGCTATTATTCTCCCGTCTTGATTCCATCCTCTTATGTTTTCAACTGATATTAAATTCATGATGCTTTTCATTCCTTTGCCCCAATCAAGTACCAAGACGGCTACATCATGGTTGACTCCCGGTTTATATGTCAAGGCAATTTGGAACCCCGTTTCGAAAGGGGTAGAATATTCAAAATCAACAACCGCGTTTGGCTTTTTACGTTTAATTTCATTAAGATATGTAAAAAATGTGTTTGAAAATGTTACATATTTTTTAGTAGAAGACATTTTAACACTACTGTTTTTCCCGGGAACAAGTGGGATTGTTGGATACAACTGCTACGAGTCATAGTGAGTTTGAAACTTCAAGAGTTGTATATGTTATGTCAGGTAATGGATATACTTGTATTTCTTGGGGCAGCCGTGTTGGC